GCATGGGGTGGTAACCGCAATGCCAAAGAAAATAAACTTATCCCTTTGAGGAATTTCTGAGGGCTTCCCAGCTGTTGGATGGGAAGATATCACAATTTAAATGATGGTACATTCATTAATGCTAAATTATAGCATGTGCAAGCATGGGATTTCCATTTAKAGCAAATAAGTTTGTGGTGTTTTACAAAGAAATGTGAGGAAATCCTGATGGTAAAGCTCTCGTGCTAATGATGCTGAGTTATTTAAGGAAATAGTCTTTGAATGTTGCTGGATATTATGCAAAGAATATTCACTGGGTTGAATCCTGAACCCTTTATTCTTTTTTTTTTTTTTTTTTTTTTTTTTTTTTTTTTTAGCAAAATGTCCATTGGTTTGAATTAAAGCTTTTGTTTAAATAAAGGACGTCACCTCAGACTTGACCCCTTATGTTACGTCGCATTGTCACATTCAATATAACTGTCTAAGGGTCTTTATTTGTGACATCCTGCTTCCTCTCAAGTCTCACAACCTCATTCTCTCAAGCATTCACCAGGTTTTTCCCGTGTTTCCTTCAAGTACCTACTTGGACTGTGAGTTTTCTCAAGTCGAAGCGAGGTAACGAGGAGCGCTCAGCAGAGAAGCTGCATTTAGCTGCAGTCCCATTAATCCTGGGCGGAATCTGGGATTGGAAGGTAAGCTGGCACCGGCTGTGCTTGYGAGCTGGCTGAGAGGGCCGCAGAGCCGCACGGAGCCAACCATTTTCTGCCCCCCTGAGGTAACGAGGACACAGTCCTGCGCTCCGGCCCCGCAGAGGGACCTCAACCATCAGCTCCCACCTCCCTGAGAAAGCAAAACCCTACGGAGAGCAAAGAAAGCACTGAAAGGAGAGGAAACACACTGGTGTTTGCCAAACGGGAAGGGTCACGCAGCTAGGCAAATAGTGTTTATTTTAACACTCTCAATGTCTGCTAAAGATAACACGGAGTGGAAATTAACTTGAGAGCTATCATCATACTGAAAGAAGAGGAGGTAACAGGCATCTCCAAGTAAAAACACTTGAAGGGAGGCATTTTGGTGCCGTATGTCTGGCTGGGTTTGGACCAGCTGTCCTGAATACCCAACATATGGGGCATTTTGTGGACAGGAAGGGGCACCTTGGGAACTGGGGAGTTCCCACCCCACCATCTACAATCTTCATTTCAGTGAGATTTCTATTGGGACTTGTGCCAATAAAACCATCACAGCTGCTCCCAGACTGCTCCATATAGCACCAGAGCTGGGTCAGAACAGAATSAAGAAGCAGGAATTAGAATCTGGATGCAGGAAATAGCAAAGATCGCTGCAAAACTGTCTGGAAACTCACAAAGAAAACAACTTCTGAATGGATTTAACTTTCCTATTTGACATTATCCTCTTTGTAAACCCTTTCTAGCTCTCCCACAGAAAAATACAGAGCAAAGACTGAAATCTTTTGCTTGGCTCCTATAATTTAGTTCCTGATTTTTCTAAGCTAGAGATGAGAGCTGCTGATAACTGAGGGAGTTGCAGAAGGCTGCCATCCTTATTCCTGAATTTCTTCCTGTTTATCGCCCTTTGACAAGTGGCTGACTCAACAGACAACTGAGAAAAGACTAAATAACTCTTCTATGAGCAGTATTTTAAGCTGGAGTATTTTGAGAACTGCTATTACCGTTTCAACTGAATATTGCAGCAGACTGTCTGACCGCCTCCTGAATCAGAGGCCTGCCGCCAGGCCGAGTATTTGCACAAATTCCTAGTGCTGCCCTGCAGATGCTGCACAGAGGAGATATATTTTATATCCAGCACACAAGAACTGTTTATTCCACCAATTGATCTTAGAGGAAAAAAAAATAAAGTAGTCCTTAGAAACAACACCAGAATAAGTATACTTAATTGCAGATGCAGCATAATCCATGCGTTCCGAAGATCTCATTTAATACTTGTACTTCTTCAACCATAAAAAGGTACAACTTCAGCAACTAACCAAACTGTAGCACAGTCACAGTGGAGATATCAATAAATCTGAATTTTTACAAAAGTTAAGGRCAAAAGGAAGGCATTTCGCAGCCTTCAAAAGATTGATTTGAACCAAAGTTGCTGAGTTACTGGCTAATGAAAGCAATTGCCTGGGCTGGAATTTGTTCAGAGGAAATGTTAATACATCAAACATACAAACGAGGTCAGTGAAAGACTTCTCCTAATCAGCAAAATTCTTCTGTCTTCAAATCTTTTAGAAATAGACAAAAAAAGACTTGGAAGCCTAGCTCTGAGAAAGGAGGACTGAGGGACTGTACTGAGAAGAGATGGAGCTGCTTTTAAAAGCACACTGAGTGCAAATAAGGAAGTTTCCCCCATCCCAATAAGTACCTGCTATGTTACCGCATGCAGTGCGGGCAGTGCACCCATATATTTGGGGTTTGTATTACTTCTGAGAAAAGCACCACGTTGTTTATCGGTTGGCTACTAATCTGCTTCTCCATCAACCTCGTAGACTGGAATTATCATCCTAATAATGCAAATTGCAAGCATGTCTGGCACAGTATGGGGCTGGTGCTGACAAGGACACATGAAAGTAGGATTCAAAAGAAACCCACAATCAAAATATTCAACAAGAGCTTTTATGCACCCCAAAGAAAAAAAGCAAGGAATTTGAAGCAAAGGACTGAAAAGGGTCATTTCCAAAGGGAAGACGATGAACCAGATTGCAAAGTAGATAGGTAACAGGAAAAAACAAAAGTCTTAAAAAAAGAGAGAGAGAGGGGGGGAGAGAGAGAGAGAGAGAGAGAGGAAAATATGCATTTTGGAGCCTTCATACTACAGTAGGAACAAAAAATGAAACTTCATTCCACAATCCTGGTTATCTGAGGCATTTCATACACAGCTCTCTTCTGACTACTTTTTGTGCGTGTGTGTGCGTGTATGTAAGAATCACAAGTCTCCTTGCAATGGTGGGTACTAGGAACCAGGACTATAGGAAGATAGAAGGCTTCCCTGTCTCTCCGTTCTTTTTGCTAACTTGCAATTAGTTTGTTGTTTTCAGTGTAATTTAATAAGGAATATGCTTTTGTGATCACAAGATTGAGTTAATAAAGCACATCAACTTGAAACAAACCAACTAGAAAAAAAACTTTAAAATCTATACTGCTTTCTATTTGAATAGTTGTTCTGTCACTGACTCACTGACCAACTTTGCACAGCTCATTAACACCTGCAGTTTCCAGAAGTATTCAATAATTTGTATTTATATTCCATGTGCAAACAGAAACACAGGATTAAGACTGATTTTCTGAGATCCTGGACACTAATAACTTCACATGAAGGTGTTTGGAATACAGATGCTCAATGACTTAAAACACAAATTCAATTTATCCATAATTTAACGCTTAAGTTTAGCTGCAGTTACAACACAAAAAGACGTGCCTATTGCCTTCTGGAGTTGGAAGATTCAAAGTAAAGAGATTTAAAACCTTAGACTAAACATCAAGTAACAAAACGTCCATCTGAAAAAAAACAGGGACAACACCTCTCTATCCAACTCCTTCGGGGCGCATGAGAATAACTCATCGGCTATTGTTAAATCCTTCGTTTGCCCCCAGCAGATCAGGGGATCTTTTGTCTTTCTCCCTTTCGGCAGAATGACAACCAAACCACCAGACCTCCTGGAATGGGGAAGGGCTAGAAACACAAGAAAAACAGAGGACTGATGACAGGAGATGAATGTGGCAGGGAAATGGACTGTCACTTCCCGTGGCCCTACCTCAACAGCAGCGGCATTGATGGCCGCATGCTTGCAGTTCTCACATAACTGCCCTTTTCTTTTCCAAATTACTTTACATTTAGGACGAAGGCAGTGGAAGAAGCGAGGAGGGGATAATTATTTACTATTTAAGCCCTGCTCACAGCGGAGAGGCCAAACCCCTCGCTGCTTCTCAGCAGAACTCAGCTGAACAGCAAAATAGGTGGTGGTGCCTTCATAAGGAAGATCAAGGGACATGACCTACAATTATTTATGTATTTTTCTCTGGGTTGCGATGATCTGAGAAGTGGCTGTGATTCGCTGGAGGGAGAAAAAGGAAAAGGGAAGAACAAAGAGAGCAAAAAGAGGCAGCAATAGGGTTTCTTTGCCATCAGCTACTTCTCTGCTGGCAAATGGTGACTGCACAGTGAAACCTTAAATGAACATCATGAGCTCAGGATACGCTAWTTTACATCAATCCTCTGAATTGAAAAAAAGTGTCTGGTGCATTTCTGCAGCTCGGTGAGTGCTTGGCTGCATTGACAGTGAGAGGGCTCAGATTGCGGGGAAGGGCAGGAGATGGAGGGTGAGAGCCTCCATGTCCACCGGACTTTTGCATCGCTCCCAACTTGCACGGGCACACGGGAAACGTCAGTAAGCTATAAAAGCACAAGTCCCTSCTAAACGCCACTTCTCCTGGGCGCCACACCGCAACATGGCGGCACCGATGGAGGCGCGGGGTTATTGGGGGGGGGCTGCGGACTACAACTCCCAGCGTGCTCTGCGGCGACGCGTTGCCGTGACAACGGAGGAGCGGGAGGCCAAGCGGCGCGCCCGCGAGAGCGGGGCCATGGCGGCGGCGGCGGCGGCGG